TTTCTCAAATCTGGCCAGAAGTCACAGTAGAATTTCCAAACAAATATTACCGTTAATATTTAAACAGTAAATTCACACACACATGCACACACATCAGCTCTTGGCTATGGTAAACAAACTGCTTTAAAATCCTGTGGTTAAAAGTTGTATACAAATTCTTAATTACTCCTCAAAATAAATTCTTGGAAATGGAATTGCTGATCTAGCTCATAGGCAAAGTTTGCAGTCCTTTGTCATGAACTCCCAGTTCCCTTCCAGAAAAGTTGCAACATTTAAAACTTTAGTGGAAATCTATGCAGTAAATTCAGTTGAAAGCAAATTCTCAGAAAATATTCCACTTAATGCAATCCTTAGTAAAGTACCCATGGCAGTCTTCACAGAACTAGAACAAATGATCCTAAAATTTATATGGAACCATGAAAGACCCTGATTTGCTAAAGCAATCTTAAGAGAAAAATAACAAAGCTGGAGGTAACATGCTCCCTGACTTCAGACTATATTACAAAGCTACAGTCATCAAAACAGACACATACTGGCACAAAAGCAGACACAGAGATCAATGAAACAGAATACAGAGACTATAAATAAACCCACACACCTAAGGTCAACTAATCTATGACAAAGGAGGCAAAAACATACAATGGAGAAAAGACAGTCTCTTCAATAAGTGGTGCTGGGAAAACTGAACAGCTACATGTAAAACAATGAAATTAGAACATTTTCTCACATCACATAAACCTCAAAAATAAACTCAAAATGGATTAAAGACCTAAATGTAAGACCAAAAACCATAAAACACTTCAAAAAAAACAGGCAAAACACTCTTTGACATAAATTGCAGCAATAATTTTTTGGATCTGGCAAGAAAACAAAAGCAAAAACAATAGGATCTAATTAAATGTAGAAGCTTTTGCACAGCAAAGGAAACCATCAACGAAACCATCAACAAAACCAAGGCAATCTACTGAATGGGAGAAATATTTGCAAATGATATGACCAATAAGGGGTCAATACTCAAAATATATAAGCATCTCATAAACTCAATATCAAAAAAACATACAACTCAATCAAAAAATGGACAGAAGACCTGAATAGACCTTTTTACGAAGAAGACATACAGATGGCCAACAGGCACAGGGAAAGATGCTCAATATCCTTAATCATCAGAGAAATGCAAATGAAAATCACAGTAAAATATAACCTCACACCTGTCAGAATGGCTATCATCAAAAAGTCTACAAATAACATATACTGGCAAGGATGTAGAGAAAATGGAACTTTTGTACACTGTTGGTGGAAATGTAAATTGATGCAGCCACAATGGAAAATAATATGGAGGTTTCTCAAAAAACTAGATACAGAACTAACAAATGATCCAGAAATTCCACTCCTCAGTATGTTTCCAACAAAAATGAAGGCACTAACTCAAAAAGATACATGCACCCAGTGTTCACAGAAGCAGTTTTTTAAATAGCCAA